ATGTTGCCTGGTACATTTGTGAAGTGTTGTTTTTCCTTCGAGATCACCTGAATATTCCATTATCTTAATGTTAGCCGTAGTTTCTGAGCTAGTCTGAAAGAACTGTGGCATATCTACTTTTGTGAGTATTATTCCATCTGCGTCCGGCATATGTTAAACATCGCAACCATGAATTAAGGAGACTAGGGTGAATTCTGGTTGAGAATAATTATCCAATGTGGCTGGTTGACCACTATTTTAGAATATTGTCAAATAGAATGAAGGCAAATACATATTTTGGGCTAGACAAAAAGATAGATCACTCTACCAGGATCATTATACTGCCAGCGCTTAAGCTGTGGAAGAAGATAGACGGATTACTGGTGAAGTGGGACATCAGTACCATTTATATAGAGAAAATAACACTCTTCGTTATTGCCTGCTTTTCGAGAATACTCTGACTCGCTCTTCAGATCAAGCTGTTGCAAGATTTTATAATCATATGATAGTGCCTATGTTGGAAAGACCTGTAGACCCATACATAAGAGGATATCCGAACACAAAGCAGCCTGCAAAGATATATGGGTCCAAAAATCGGAATTAACTGAACACATTGCTCGCACAGGACATCAGATAGATTGGTCTAATGCCAAACGCTAAGCTGCTTATGGAGACTATACCAGTTAGCCAATGATTACGGAGGCGATAGAAATCAACAAAGCAGCCAACACCCTGAATTGAATGAGTGAGTGTAGGAAATTAAGCGGAAACTACTTGTGGCTAATTGATACGTATAAATAAAGAGGGGGGAAATGATAAGTACCTTCAAGCAAGAAGAGGCTTGATTAGGCTGGAAATTGGTTTTGACTCTCACGTCGCACCCATTTGAAGAGCAATGCACTCACACAACACGTATGCAATGGGACGCGATCACATACGATAACAATTCAGGATCAAAGGCATAAGTGTTTAGGGGAGGATGCAATTGTTTGGTTTCAATTGCACCCATTTTACGCTTCATTTTGTAGCCACTTCACATGTCATTCGCAGCCACTTAACTTGACTTATGAGCAAACATAGAGGCAGAGCATAGGACAACTAACCAAAACATGAGATGCATAATTATACCAAATTGAAATATAAGGAAGTAGGTTTGAAGCCGGCCACCTTTCTTGCGTTTTTTTGGAGAATTATCGTTAGCCATGGTGTCCTGCTCTGACTATGTCCATAACATGACTGACGAAAGCTCAGCAAGGATTCATTGGGGTTGCAGGGCGGTGCGCCGAGGACCTATTCGCATAACTCTACAACCACAACTCCAAGGCCGCTCCCCCACAGCATTCGGTGGAGCCAAGTTATGAATCCCTTCCATTCGCTTCGTCAAACGAAATGAAAGATACTCCAACATCAATTTGTGTTGCTCCATATTTGTTGTCGACTATCAGCCTTTGTTCTTTCACTTTATTGTGTAACTTCGGTAGTCCGTAAGCTGATGCTGGTCGTTCATCCTTCTTTCATAGTGAATTTGTTGTCTATCCATCGATCTATCTGTTCCTATGCATATTTTTCAGCATTTCATGCAAGGCTACATGTATCTTCATACTTGAGTCATTCTTTAGTAGATTATACGTGGTCGTGTCTCGAAGTATACATTCCTTCGTCTCGGTATTATGTTTTCTGCCCATGATCAGAGAGACTCCGCATTTATTCGCAGTAAGGACCAACAGTCTATTAACTTCTAGATTATTGCGTATTCTCGTAAATCTTCGAATGTGGTGGTTCCTAATGTGACAAGATTATTGAAATTATTTCTATCTCATAAAACTTATGGGAGAAATTGATATCCTCCACCAGGATGTGCTCTATAAGACTCATGTAATTTTGAAGAGAAAAGATGTGTCCTTTCCTCAGGATCGTGGTGATCTTTGGGTCAAGAAGAAACGAGGATAAATTCACTATCTTATTCTGATCATTGTACAATTCAGTAGGTAATAATGATAACTACTATAGCAGAGGACTTCAGACAAGGTACGCCCAAATTAGTCGCTTGATAACACGACTCAGTTGCGAAAACTTGATCAGCCCACTTCAACCAAATCAAGTTTCATAATGAGCCATATTTACAAATTTTATGGTGTAACATACTCGAGAGTTTTTTGTCTACGTGGATTCATGAATGTCACTTTACCAAACTTTTTTTCTATGATGTGTATTGTCCTTATCTGTAGTTTTGATATGAAATTGCTAAGCAACGTCGGCTTTTTCATGTCAAAAAACACAAATAGCTGTATTTGTGTTGAATACGTTTAGAAACAACCAGAACTAGCTCAAAAAGAATTTCCAATTATAAGAATTACGGAATATTCAGGTGACCTCGGATGAAAAGACAACACTCTTCATAGGTCTACCCAGGCAACATAAGGGAATGTACAATTTGTATTGCTTGTGAGCTTACCGCATAGATTGCGGAGTCTGAAAACGTAAGTATAATGGCAAAATAGGCAGAACAATTGGCATACGAATCAAGGAACATCAATGGCTCCACAGGAAAATGGATATCGAAATATCTGAAATAGGTAAGTACATCACACGGAGTGGACACGCGACCAATTGGAAGGTGATAGAAAGAATAGCATCTTACGATGAAGGCACAAGAAAACGGAAGAGTATGGAGGCCATTAGCATGCTTGTTGAAGTAAAAATATGTAGGAAAACTGGCTTTCGAATAATTCCTTAATGAAATACTGTGGCATGACTCTCCGTTTTGAAAGGATTGTTGGTGTGACGTAATTCAAGATGTGGTCTCACAGGAAACCGAAGGAGGATTGTCACATAAAAAAGACTGCTGAATTGTGCGAAGGAGTCCTCGGCTCACCGCCCTGCGACCCCGATGAAACTGTGCAAAGCTTTCGTCTGTACTATGACAGACGTCATCAGAGCCAGATTTCATACTTTACGGAATAGAGCAAAGAATACACTAAACCAAGGGTAAAGCTGATCGGCTAGAACCCTAGTCGCTTTTTATACACTTAAGCAACGGCTAACCAAATCATCAGATGCCTCGTTTAGATCGCGATATTAACTGTATAAAAAGCGGCTAGGATTGAAGCCGACTACATTTACTCTTGGTTTAGTAAATTTTTGCTTTATTTCGTAAAGTGTGGAATCTTGGTCTGATGGTGTCTATCACGATACAGTTTCATCGATGTCGCAGGACGGTAAGCCGATGACTTTTTCGCACAATTCAGCAGTCTTCCCTTCACGGCAATCCTCCTTCGGTTTCCGGTGAGACCACATCTCGAATTACTTCCAGCCAGAAAAGGAAGAAACCGATTTATGGACCCAAGAAGCAGATCCAGATAGGAGGTCCGTGCCGGGTCAACAATTTGAGGGCCAGTATGATGAAACATAAACAGCAGGTATGGCGATGCGACGCTAAACTTATCAAGAAGGGCACACTTTTGGAAGATGTATATAAACAAGTGAGAAGTTGTGATAGGGCGGGAGTATCATAAGAGGGTAGGGAGTAGATAGTTGAGCCAGTACAGAAAGGGGGTTGATAGCATACCTGTTTCGTCAGAAAGTTGATCAATGTATCTTATTCACTTGGCTCTTTGACGAGTTGTAGCTTGGTGCTGAGAATACAAGAATCAATGATGATGCAGAATAAAAAGCCAGCGAAACCTCTGGTAATCTACCCAGTCCACGGTTCGACGCTGGAATTTTTGATATCTGCTATAGCAGATGACTTCGTACAAGGTGCATCCAACTAAGTCTCTCCTAAAACAGGACTCAGTTGCGAAAACGAGTATAGCTCACTACTATACATTGAAATCGACTCCGGCCATACTAAAGTCCACCTTATCCTTTTATTCATGCCTTCACTATACTACTTACCTTATTTTTACAAATTCTTTTATAGTTGAGTTTCCTCTTACTATGTTTTTCAAATATTTTCTATCCAAATTTTTACGATATTACATTCCTAAATTTATTATATTTATAATGGCTTTGCAGCGTACAGGATTAATATTATTCATTCTAATTATTTATGCCTTCTTTATCTATTCCTCCCATGAACATATTCAATGTAATAATGCCTCATAGAATATGTTCTCCTGCCACTCGGGTCCTAAGTCACCTATAAACCGAAATACAATTTTAAAAGTTTTATCTGCACTGTCTAAAATATGATAAGGGATTTTATTTTTTATCTATCTTTTTAGGCCTAATATATATCATTTAATTATGTAGTATGTAATTTATGCCTAAAATCATATGGATTCTAGACTTAAGTATTTTCTGATTCCTTAACCTGCAGATATGAAGGTCATTTACCCTAAATCAATTAATATAAATGATTTCTGAGAAAGCTATAATTAATCAAGTAATTGCTCACTTCCTTGGCAAGGCCAATCACCAACAGAGGAGAATCAGACAGTTGCGTTATAAATTTATCAAAGGAGGCTGAATTTTCTAGGGAATTGAAAATATCCAGCGCTTGTTGCCTAGTCAAACTGAATTCCTTCTGCACTGCTACATTAAAACCGGAACTTTGGATCTTCTCCAGAATTAGCTCCTGATTTTCCAAATAGGCGGATTTTCCAACCACCGCAATAGTTCGCTTTACCTGTTGAATTGCTTGTGCTTTACTACCTTCGGAGAGTTCTGGCTCATGTTCACTTATCGAAGTATGAACTGGCTTCTTTCTTCTGACAATCACCGTAGGAGCCTCGAAATCCGGAAAGAATAGAGCCATGGCGCTGTAGATACGGACATTAATACAGATTTTAAAGGCGAATTCACGCAAAAATCAAGTAATTTGCCAAAGATGAGATAATGGGTAGCTACCTTTGATAAGCTCATTTTGGCTTGCCTCATCTTATTCTCTTTGACTTTTAGAGCCTAATTAGCTACTTTATCAACGGGGTATTATCTTGTATGTGGTAAACATATCTTAATTCCTTTAGCTACTTTGATGCAATAAAATATTTATACTA